TAAGAGGGGGACTGAATTGGAACTTGATTATAGCTGGAGGGATTTATGTTGAATTTCCGTTATATTTATATTTTAAATTTATAAATATTATTTAATGAGAATTTTTATATTATAAATATTAGTGAATATCTCTTACCCATGCATTGTGGTTTCCTACTAGTTCAAACTTATAAATAACAATATTTTTGCTACAAGCATATTAACATTGGTGGTAAAAAATTTCCAATACAATTAAAAGTGGACATGGTCTATCTTATGTGACAATAAAAAAATGAGACAAAGTCTGGGTCTATTTTGAACCCAAGTACAAACCTGAACAGTCAACATTTATTTCTAATTTATTTTTTCTTTGAATATGGTAAACATATTAGAGCATTTTTATTGATTGACAAATATTCTAGACCTAGTATTTGATTTTTGCACTGAATAACTTTTGAGTCTTATTTATTTGGATCTGTCCATATCATTTAGGACTTAAATCGTTTGTGACTTAAATCAATTTATATACCACATATTTATATAAAAAGAATTACCATTTTTTAAAAATAGTAGGTCAAATTTTGGCCAGCATTAATTACCTACTATTTTTAGTAACTTTTTTATTTTTATTTTTCTAAAATAGGACAACATTAAATGCTGCCCTTAAATTATGAAATTTGTTACTTTTGTTTCCCGAAAATAAAGCTATCTTAAATATATATATATATATATATATATATATATATATATTACGGGTGACTAATTGTTTTAGGTTGTAGTTTGATTTTTTAACAAAAAAAAAATGAAATCAAATTTTTACCTTCTCCATTTTATCTTTTTTTTTGGATTATTTGAAAAAAAAAACAAAAAACAAAAAACCAATTGACTTAGAAATCAATGTATGTATATATTTTTTGTGGTATGTCTTTTCTTCCATAAACGTCCCAATTGATATTGAAATTAAAATTTTGGTACATAATTTCATACAGGAAACACATGCCCATGATATTTCAAATTTATTATACATCAATATTTATATCTATAAATTTGGTAATCTTTTTGAAAAAAATAATAAATGGAAAAAACCCGCCAATATAGCTTTAATTTCGAATTTCAAAATATTTTGATTTTATTATATAGTAATATGATAAATAAAAAGGAAACGATTTTAAAAATTTATTGAGAATTTATAAAATTTATTTGTTTTTGTTTACAAAAATAAATAATTTGCTTAATTTTTAACAAATCAATATTTGAAATTTTAAGCCATTTATGACGCACGGGTTTCCCCATAAAAAAATGTAATCTCACATAAAAGTCATTTTATATTGAAATTGTATATCTTTTAGTGTTTTAAAATATTTAAAAAGTAATTCGTCAAGTTTTAGTTCTTATACTACGTAGCGTAAATAGAATTCCGTGTTGCGTAAGCTGTAAGAGTATAAAATTTACTTTGTTAAAAATATCAAAATATTTACATAGAATAAAATTTAGTGGTTGATTTAAAAAATTATCTTAATACATATTATATGACAATAAATCTTTGAATAACACAATAGTTGAGTATTATGATGAATAAAAAGTGGGTGATTTTATTTTGGTATAAAATGTCCGAACTTAAATAGTATAAATTTCATTTGGTATGAAGAGAAGTGTATTTGAATTTTGAAAATAAAATAAGTGGTATGAATTTTATTTAGTACAAGTATGAAAGTCGAAGTTTAGGTTGATTTGTTATAAAATCAAAGTGATATGATTCTCAAGCTTTACTGTTTTAAAATATTCCCATAATAATTTGCCATAAGATAAGAAAATTGGTGTGTATTTCTCTCAAAAATTAGAAAAATATTTGAACAAATATTTGTTAATAAAACTTAAAATTTATAATTTAATTATAGAGAATTAGTTGATAAATTTGACGATAAGGTAGCCGACAACAATTTAGAAAATTTTGAGATTGGTAAAATATAGATATACATAAAATATACAAGGATGTTTATTGTGTAGTCCAAATTTAGATTCCAAATTTAAAATAAAAATAAGTAATTATTTATTAACTTGGAGGTAATTAGAATAGTCGATTACTTATAGTTTAAAAAATTACTCAACTATATAATTTTTTTTTTGAAGGGAAGAGTTTATACAAAAATAATTTTATTTTAATTAATTAAATAATATAATTTTTTTTTTACTTATTATTCACATAGATTTTTAAATTTATGATAAAATTTTATCAAAATAATTATTTTATGTAACCACATTGTATTCAAATTGAATTTCTGAATAAAAATTTCAAAACGACAATTATTTTGAAATGATATAATGTAGTTTAATATCAGTTATGTGCACCGTACGAGTTGATTTTTTATTTTAAATTTATAAATATTATTTAATAAGTACTAGTAGTAATGATAAATTGGCTTTAATACATTGTGGGTGCTCAGCTAGAGAGAGTTAAATGCTAAAAAGTTATTGTGATGCAAAAATCCAGATTTATCTTCTTAAACATTAGGTAACCTATTACTTATTGGGAATTGAATGCCAATATACAAATATAACTGTCTCCAGATAAGAATCGTAATTATTTGAGATAAAAATAAAAATTCGCTGCAGAATTGGTAAAATATGCTCAATTTGGATAAGATAGGCTGAATAGGAGTATGTTTTCATTCACAAAAAATGTATTTATTATATTTGCTTAATTTGGATATCGAGAAGATATACACATACATATACCTAACCAGGGGCAAATCCATTCTGTATAAATAAATAAATATAAAACAAGATTAAATAAAATGGAAGGAAAGAGATAAGGAACGCTAAATAATTTAATTTAGAAAAAGTTAGCACATTCGATTTTCGAGTCCTGCTTTGAAAAATTATATATTATATCTCTTTATAAATATAATTATAATTATATTATGTGAGAGATTCTACTATAACTATTATATCAACTATCTATGATGATTACATGATGATTTAACGGTTACAAATCTCGATAAAATGGTTTCGTAATTTCTGCATCCACAAGGACTCGAAGATCTCAAGCTGCTTACACTTGGATCAATCTCGTTGATTAATTTTTTTATTTTTTATTCCTTTTGTGAGGGTTGGGAGAGGTGGGACCCACCTCCAATGACGGAGTCCCATATCGGTCCACTGTTCTTATCCTTTACACCACAACCACATCAGTAATCAGTATCATCACCTTCCTTTTTACACACACACACACACACACAACACAATTATATATAATAATAATAGTAATAATATCTCTATCTAATATACCAAAATCTTGGCCCCAAAACAAAACAGCCAGCCATGGCAATTTAAGAATGTCAAGAATCCGCTCCCACCTGTGTTCATCAATTTTCCCCACTCGCCATTGATATATGAACTGTTCCTTTCTGTACAGGAACACACTGAAAAATCTGTTCTTTTTTTTGGGGGGTTTTCTCAAAATTTGTCGTTATGCTGTCTCGATCCTGCTTCAATCTGCTAAACCTGGACGACTACTCGAGCCGGGCCCCTAGGCCGCCTGTCTCCGTCCCCGGAATCGTGACCGATTACGAGGACCAAATCCCAATCAATGGCGCCGCCGCCGCCCAAAACGACGCCGTCCCTTCTCTGAGGATCATCGTCGCCAACAAGCTCCCTTTAAAGTGCCGCAGGGAAGAAGGTTCATCCGACGCCCACAAATGGTCCTTCGAATGGGATAGGGACGAATTGACCCTGCAACTGCGGGACGGGTTCCCGCCGGGCGTTGATGTCCTCTACGTGGGCTCTCTTCCCGTGGATGTCGACCCAGTGGACCAGGACGACGTGGCCCAACTGCTGCTCGACAAGTTCAGATGCGTCCCCACTTTCCTGCCCTTGGATTTGGTCAACAGCTTCTATCACGGCTTCTGCAAGCACTATCTCTGGCCCCTCTTTCACTCCATGCTGCCCTTGACCCCCGACCATGGCGTCAGGTTCGACAAGGCCGCGTGGCAGGCATACGTTTCTGCAAACAAGATTTTTGCGGACAAGGTGATGGAGGTGATCAACCCGGACGAGGATTATGTCTGGATTCACGACTACCATCTCCTCATTCTCCCCACTTTCTTGAGAAAGAGGTTTCACAGGGTGAAGCTAGGGTTTTTCCTCCACAGTCCCTTTCCCTCTTCCGAGATTTACCGGACTTTGCCCGTCAGGGAGGAGATCTTGAGGGGCCTTTTGAACTGTGACTTGATTGGATTCCATACGTTTGATTACGCCCGGCACTTTTTGTCGTGCTGTAGCCGGATGCTCGGTTTGGACTATCAGTCCAAGAGGGGGTATATAGGATTGGACTACTATGGTAGGACGGTTAGTATAAAAATTCTCCCGGTTGGGATTCACATGGGTCAGATCCAATCAGTCATGTCCTTGCCTGATACTGCAGAAAAAATCAAGGAATTAAATAAAAAGTACGAAGGGAAAACCGTGTTGTTGGGCGTAGACGATGTGGATATGTTTAAGGGCATTGGTTTGAAGTTCATTGCTTTTTCTCTGCTTCTGGATGAGAACCCGGAATTTCGAGGGAATGTGGTTTTGGTGCAGATTATGAATCCTCCCAGGAGTCAAGGCAAGGATATTCATGAAGTTCAGGACGAAATCAGTAGAGTGGCAGACGAAATAAACAGCAAGTATGGCAGTGGGGCCCACTGCCCTATCGTGTGCTTAAGTGGGCCAGTCTCGTTTCAAGACAAAGTCGCATATTACGCTGTGTCCGAGTGTGTTGTGGTGAATGCGGTTAGGGACGGTATGAATCTCGTTCCATACAAGTACACCGTGTCCAGACAAGGCTGTCCCATGTTAGACGAGGCTTTAGGGTTCGAGAGTCCCAAGAAAAGCGTCATTATAGTGTCCGAATTCATCGGGTGCTCACCTTCCCTCAGTGGGGCCATCCGTGTGAACCCTTGGGATGTGAGCAGTGTGGCGGAGGCTATGGCCTCAGGTATAATGATGAAGGACTCTGAAAAAAAACTAAGGCACGAAAAACATTACAAGTATGTAGCATCTCACGATGTCGCGTACTGGTCACGGAGCTTTGACCAGGACTTTGAACGGGCTTGTGCCGAGCACTACAGGAAGAGGTGTTGGGGAATCGGGTTTGGTTTGAACTCAAGGGTTGTGGCTTTGGGCCCGAATTTCCGTAAGCTGGCGGTGGAGCATATTGTGTCATCTTATAGGAACACGAATAGTAGGCTTATACTTCTTGATTATGATGGGACCATGACCCCGCAGGATATGGTTGATAAGTCTCCGGGTGATGAAGTGATTTCGGTCTTGAAGGGCTTGTGTGGTGACCCAAGGAATATCGTGTTTATCGTTAGTGGGCGGGGTAAAGATTCGCTCGGGCAATGGTTCGGGCAGTGTGAAGGGCTTGGGTTGTCTGCAGAACATGGTTACTTCACTAGGTAATGCTCACATTGAAACTCACTTTCGCGACTATTCATGTAACTCTTGTTTTGGTTTATTCGATCTTTCTATCTTCTGTTTATAAACTTTGCTTATTTTCTGCACTGAGGTTTTCTTGTCCCTTCGATGTACTAAAAAGAAAAGAGTTGTGTGATTAATAATGGCCTGTTCTTATTTGGTTTTATTTGATAGGTGGAGTAAAGATTCCGAGTGGGAATCTTGCGAATTAGGAGTTAGTTTGGACTGGAAGAAAATTGCACTGCCTGTGATGGAGCACTACACAGAGGCTACAGATGGTTCGTCTATAGAGCAGAAGGAGAGTGCTTTGGTTTGGCATCATCAAGAAGCCGATCCTGATTTTGGCTTGTGGCAGGCAAAAGAGCTTCTTGATCACTTGGAGAGTGTGCTTGCGAATGATCCTGTGGTGGTTAAGAGTGGACAGCAAATTGTTGAGGTGAAACCGCAGGTATGTGACTTTATGGGCATGATTTAAAATATTCAATCTTTGCTAATGAATTGTCTGTTAAATTCAGTTTTGCTCGATAAGCTTAACAAAGAGTGTTTGCTTCTTGAATGCATATTTGAAATATAAAATATAAATCTGAGATTGAAAATTATACAGCTCGGTTGTGTTGGATTAGTAAACGTAATGAACCAAAATTCACGCATTTTTTTGGTTTATATATATGCAAAATGCTGTTTGTTTTTGGTGAAATTGCTGCTGCTCCATATACATTCCTTCTTGCCCTAACTTGAGATTAATTTGTTTCACAATAATAAAATAGAAAGTGATTCCCACTTTTGAGTGTAAAATTGATTATATATACTCTTACATAGCGGTGACTTGTGTTTGCATTTTTCTGGCAGGGTGTGAGCAAGGGTGTGGTTGTAAAGAATCTCACACAAACATTGAAAAACAGAGGAAAACCGGCAGACTTTGTCTTGTGCATAGGGGACGACCGATCGGATGAGGACATGTTTGAGGCTATAGCTAATTCACTTGTCGACCATTCGTTGCCGGAAAACGCTGAATTATTTGCATGCACGGTCGGTCAAAAACCGAGCATGGCCAAATATTATCTGGACGACACATCTCAGGTTATCAAGATGCTTGAAGCTCTCTCAGATGCTTCCCGAAAACGACAGCCTTCCATAGATGACAAGACTTTTGGAGAAGTAGAAAAAAACTGAAAGTTGAAATCCATATCACAAACTTCTGTACAGGTGATAAATATTATTACAGGTCTGTTTTCTCGTCATCAATAGATTGAAAATTGACTTAGGTTTATCCCCTTGTTGACATGAGTTTAGAAATTTGTTTCACATTTTTTTTTTTTTTGGATATAGTCTTGAACTACATATCATGGTTTTAGTTGCCTCACTACTCAGTAGTATGTGAAACAAAGCACTAATGAATTGGAGTTACTTTTTTTTTTTTTTTTTGATTGGTGACGTTCATGTATCTCAGGCTCCCGGCATTTGGAGTCGGGATATTAGGGCGTATTAGGTTTGGATTTGACAATGCAATTCCTATGTTTATATTTAGTAGCTGATTGTGTTCGTCTCGTTTAAAGGCTATGATAATTTCTTTTGCTCTGAAGTCTGAACACAAGTTCTGTTTGCTAGGCTTCTCTTCATGATCTTATCACAAATTAGGTGTTTGCAATTGGGTTTGTCTGATTAGCAACTGGTTGGGATAGGAAGGTGTCCAACTGAGGTACCTAAGAGGAGTTTGGAGAAATTTTTTGTTGATGAATTGTTGAAGTTGTACATGAGGCAGAAAATTATGTTTAAGGTATATCTCCGAAAATTAATAGAGGAATTTGCACCCGTTACTTCAAAATTCTAAAAGGGATTTAAATGTATAAGGTCACTATTCTTATTGGGTTGGATTACCTATGTGGCTATGTTATTCTACAAAAATTTTGTGGAGCTATCGGATGGTTTTCTCATGGAGCCATTCACCACTCAATGTATTGACACTTGTCCAAAGCGTATTTATTGTAGGATACATGTCAATACACTATTTGTGAATAAGTGTGGATGACTCTGTAAGTCGTGTCATCTGATGGCTCCATAGCAAAATTGTTCATAGTTCATACGTAACAATATATATACATATATATACATATATATATATATATATTGTTATTTTACTACTTATTTTGCCATTAGATTGATCAATAATTCAGTATCAAATATGCTAGGTAAAAAGTATTTTAACTGCTTGGTACATTGTTCCCTACATGTGTACATGAAGAGCACCTTATCCACTCTACTTAATTTCAAATAAAAAAATTGTATTTAATTTAAAATTCTTTTGCACAAAAAAAAAAAAAAAAATAAAAAAAAATAAAAAAAAGTAGTGGCTATAAAAAACTAAAAACATATTAAAATTGTAGATCCGACCATGTCGGCGCCCAGGCATTGTTGCTGGCCACCAACGTTAGTCGTTGTTCGTCTTTAGCCTACTAGTGTTCAATAAATTGTATTTTAAGATCTCGACTCAATCTTTCTAAGACTTGTTTCACTATACAATACAGTTTAAAAAAATAATAATATTAAAGAATTGCGCATTAAATTTTGTCGAAATAACACCGCATATTCGGCCGTTGGATTTTCGTAAAATATATATGTATAGAATGATTTTTTTTTTTTTTTTTTTTTTTTTTTTT